GAACGGTTGGACTGGGTGATCTTTGAGGTCTTTTCCAACCTTGGTGATTCTATGATTCTGTGATTCTATTGGTCTCTACGGTTCCCTATATTCCTCTACGGGTCCCTATGGATCTCTATGTGTCTCTATCGGTGCCTATGGGTCGCTGTGGGTCACTCTATATCTTTATATTTCCCTATGGGTCCCTATAGGTCCCCATATATCTCTATGGGTGCCTACGTGTCCCTACATGTCCCTATGCGTCCCTACGGGTCCCTATGGTTTTCTATGGGTCTCTATGAGTCCCTATATATCTCTATGATTCCCTATGTGCCTCTGTATGTCTCTATGGGTCCCTAGGGGGATCTCTATGTTTCTCTCTGTGTGCCTATGGGTCTCTATGGGTCACTGTATATCTCTTTATGGCTCGCCATAGGTCTCTAAGTGTCCCTATGGGTCCCTATGTGTCTCTATGGGTCCCCCTGGTTCCCTATGAATCTCTATGGGTCCCTATGGGTCCTTATGGGGCCCTATGCATTCCTATGGCTCGCTATGTGTGTCTAAGGCCCCCTGTGGGTCTATGGGTCGCTATGGCTCCCTATGGCGCCCTATGGCTCCCTATTTCTCCCTTTGTATCCCTATGGGTCCCTATGGTTCACTATGCATCTCTATCTGCCCCCATAGGTCCCCATGGGTCCCTTTGGCTTCCTATGTATCTCTATGTATCTCTATGGGTCTCTTTGGGTCGCTATGGGTCCCTATGTATCTCTATGGCTTTCTATCGGGCTCGCCATAGGCCTCTATGCTTTCCAAAGAGTCTGTACAAATCCCCATCGTTTTCTATGGGTTCCCTATGTATCTCTATGGGTCCCTATGTGCCCGTATAGCTCTGCATGGGTCCCTATGGCTCCCTATGGGTCAATCTGGGTCCCTATGAGTTTATATGGGACTGAATGTATCTCTATGGGGCTCTATGCAGCCCTATGTCTCCCTATGGGTCTCTATGGGTCCCTATGAGTTTACATGGGACTGAATGTATCTGTATGGGTCCCTATAGCTCGCCATAGGTCTCTGTGGGTCTCTATGGGTCACTATATGTCTCTATTTATCACTATGGGTCCCTATGGGTCCCTATGTATCTCTATCTGTCCCTACGGCTCTCTATAGCTCCCTATGGATCCCTATGGCTCCCTACGGGTTTCTATGGGTCCGAATGTATCTCTATGGGTCCCTATGCATCCCTATGGTTCTCTATGGCTCCCTATGGCTCCCTATAAGCTGCTATGGGTCCCAATGTGTCCCTATGGATCCCTATGAGTCTCCATGGGTCCATATGGGTACCTATTGGTCCCTTTGGCTCCCTACGGGTTTCTGTGGGTCTGAATGGATCTCTATGGCTCCCTATGCATCCCCATGGCGCCTTAGGGGTTCCTATGTGTCCCTATGGCTTTCTAGGAGTCCCTATGGCTTCCTGTGGGTTTCTATGGATCCCAATGTGTCCCTATGGATCTTTATGGGTCGCTATGAGTGCCTGTGGCTCCCTATGACTTTCTACAGATGCCTATGGGTCCCTTTGGGTTTCTATGGGTCGCTGTGTTTCCCTATGATTTTCTATGAGTCTGAATGTATCTGTATGGGTCCCTATGTTCCCCTAGAGGTTTCTATGGGTCCCTATGGATCTCTAGGTGTCTCTATCAGTGCCTATGGGTCGCTGTGGGTGCCTATGTGTCCCTATGTGTCTCCATGGGTCCCTGTCAGTCCCTATGGCTCGCCATATGTCTCTATGGTTCCCCATGGGTTCCCTTTAGAGCCCTATGGTTTTGTATGGGTCTCCTTGAGTACCTCTGGGTCCCTACGGGTCTGTATGGGTCGCTATGGATGCCTTTGTGTCCCTATGTACCTCTATGAGTCCCTATGGTTCCTATGAGTCTCTGTGGGTCCCTATGGTTAACTATGTATCTCTATGTGTCTCTAGGGGTCCCTTGTGGTTCTCCATTGGTCGCTATGGTTCTCTATGGTTCTCTATGGTTCTCTATGGGTCCCTACAGGATTCTCGGTGTCCCTATGGGTCCCTATGGTTCTCCATGTATCTCTATCTGTCCCTTTGGGTCTCTGTGGGTCTCTATGGGTCCCTATGGTTCTCCATGTGTCCCTGTGGGTTTCTATGGGTCCCTATGGGTCTCCATGGGTCCCTATGGTTCCCTATGTATGCCTATAGGTCCCTATGTGCCCCTATATGTCTCCAGGGGTCTCTATGGTTCCTTATGGATCTCTATGGGTCCTTAAGTGCCCCTATAGGTCTGTATGGGTCCCTATGACTACATATGCGTTTGTATGGGTACGAATGTATCTCTATGGGTCCCTATAGGTCCCCTACACGTCCCTATAGGTCCCCATGCATTTATCTCTATGGGTCCCTATCGGGTGCAATTGGTGCCTATGGGTCCCTAAGGATTCCTATGGGTCCCTATGGCTTTCTAGGAGTCCCTATGGCTTCCTGTGGGTTTCTATGGATCCCGATGTGTCCCTATGGATCTTTATGGGTCGCTATGGGTGCCTGTGGCTCCCTATGACTTTCTACAGATGCCTATGGGTCCCTTGGGGTTTCTATGGGTCGCTGTGTTTCCCTATGATTTTCTATGAGTCTGAACGTATCTCTATGGTTCCCTATTGATGGTTCCCCATGTGATGTGGTCTACCTAGACTTCAGCAAAGCCTTTGGCACTGTCTCCCACAGCATTCTCCTGCAGAAGCTGGCAGCCAGAGGCTTGGATGGATGCACTCTTGGCTGGGTGAGGAGCTGGCTGGAGGGCCGGGCTCAGAGAGTGGTGGTGAATGGAGTCAAATCCAGCTGGCGACCGGTCGTGAGCGGTGTTCCCCAGGGCTCGGTGCTGGGCCTGTCCTCCTCAATATCGTTATTGATGACCTCGATGAGGGCATCGAGTGCACCCTCAGTACATTCGCAGATGGCACCAAATGGGCTGGAAGTGTGGATCTGCCTGGGGGTAGCGAGGCCCTGCAGAGGGATCTGGACAGGCTGGAGAGCTGGGCTGAAGCCAATAGGATGAGTTTCAACAAGGCCAAATGCCGGGTCCTGCACTTCGGCCACAACAACCCCAGGCGACGCTGCAGGCTTGGGGCGGTGTGGCTGGAGGACGGCGTAGAGGAAATGGACCTGGGGGTATGGATGGATGCTGGGCTGAACATGAGCCCACAGTGTGCCCAGGTGGCCAAGAAGGCCAAGGGCAGCCTGGCCTGCATCAGAAACAGCGTTGCAAGCAGGAGCAGAGAGGTGATTGTTCCCCTGTATTCAGCACTGGTGAGGCCGCACCTCGAGTGCTGTGTCCAGTTTTGGGCCCCTCACTGCAAGAAAGACATGGAGGCCCTGGAACGTGTTCAAAGGAGGGCAACGAAATGGTGAGGGGTCTGGAACACAGGGCTGCTGAGGAGAGGCTGAAGGAGCTGGGGTTGTTCAGCCTGGAGGAGAGGAGGCTCAGGGGAGACCTCACTGCTCTCTATGGCTGCCTGAAGGGAGGTTGTGGTGAGCTGGGGGTCGGCCTCTGCTCTCGTGTCATCAGTGATAGGAGCAGGGGGAATGGCTTCAAGCTACGGCAGGGGAGATTCAGGCTGGACATGAGGAAGTGTTACTGTTCAGAAAGGGTGGTCAGGCACTGGAATGGATGCCCAGGGAGGTGGTGGAATCACCGAGCCTGGGGGTGTTCAAGGAAAGGCTGGATGTTGTGCTGAGGGACGTGGTTCAGTGGGAGCTACTGGGAATGGGTGAACGGTTGGACTGGGTGATCTTTGAGGTCTTTTCCAACCTTGGTGATTCTATGATTCTATGAAGTAAGGATGTGGGATGGGATTGGAATGATGATGGCATGGGATAAGTATACGGAATGGACGTGGGATGGATGAGGAGATACGGATTAGGAATGGATATGGATATAGGATAAGGGATGGGGATAGGATGTGGGGTGTGGACATGGGATGGGTTTGAGATGGCTGTGGGGTGGATATGATGGAGATGGGATGGGATAAAGCTGTGGGATACGGATGCTTCCCTTCCACCTCCTCCGCCCTTTGCCTTTCTCCACAGAGATGCTTGCTTCTGGACAGCACTCCTGCCCGCTGCCCAGCCCGCAGCCCGCATCTCTTGGGGAGACGGCAAGGTGCCCTGTAGCTCCCCACACCTCCTCCCGGGCACGGCTTCTCCGCTTTGCTTCAAGCCCACAGCCCAAAGGACCAAACCCCTCTCACCTTTGGGCCCAGCTTCTCCTCCTTCCGCGCAGCTCTGCGGCAAGCCGGGGCTCAGCTCTTCCCACCTTCCTCCGCTCCTGGAAGCTTGCTTGCTCTCATTCGCTGCCTTCCTTTGCTTCTCTTTGCTCATTATACCCTCGTTAGAAAACCAAAAGCAGCTCCGTCACAGAAGTGACTCGCTTCCACAGTGCTACAACTCCACATTTAACATGCACGCTGCAGTTTTCAGCCTAGGCTTTTGAAGGCAAAGCCAGAAAACTCCACACCACTCAGTTCGAAGCCATGCAGCCACGAGAGTCACTCCAGCTCCAGCCCAAAGGTGAAAAGAAGCATCAGAACGGCTGAAGAGAGGGGCGGCTCATGAGGGAAGAAGGTAGCACCGCAGAGAAGGCAGGAGAACACCTCTGCCTTCCACGATCAGGCGGCCGGCGCAGCCTCTCCTCCCCCAACAGAGACACCTGCAGGGTGAGGGGCACACGCTCACTTGTGCTCCGTGCTGCCCTGAGAAACTCAGCTCTGTGGAGCTGTTGTCTAACTCAGCGTGCCTGTGCTCAGGCCGTGCTACTCGCAGTTCTTTGCGCGTGCTTTGCAGACAGCGTGCTTATGGGCAGGGCCAAGCATTTGTACATCCATTGCTTTGATCACCTACAGCATTCCCTGATGGAGCTGGGGGAGTTCTGACCCAGCGCCACGAGTGGAAGAACGAGGAGCTGGTGCAGCAGCTCACTGAGTGCCGCTGGACAAATCAGGCCGTGCGCTCCTTGTGAACGCAAAACTCCAAGTGTTTATTGAGGGACTGCAACCAGAGGGCCAAGTTGGGCTGCTGCCACGAAGCCGCTGCCTTCTGATGTGCCTCTACTCAGTCCTTCAGCTGCAGCTTCTCCAGCATCTCCACAAGGCTGTTGATTGCGGAGGACTGCAAAGAAACAAAGCGAGTGTCAAAAGTGGATACGGCTTCCCCCAGTATTCTACGATCCCCTTCGTGTCTGACAGACAGAACAAGAGCCGTGTCTGTGCTGGCCAAGGACTCACCTCTGCATGTGCAGCGGCAGCTCTCAGAGCAGCCTTCTTCATTTCTGCTCTCCTCTCTTTCTGTCTCTGTCGTCTTGCTATAGAGCAAGAAAAGAGAAATTCAGTTTGTCAACAGCAGAACTGTGGAAACGTGGGTACCGTGAGAACAGGCTAGGAAGCCTCGCAGGGAACGCTATTTCCAGTGGGACGAGCAGAGGGCCATCGTGGAGTTAACGGGAAAAGAAGGGGTTACACATTCTGGCACCTCCTTGCCTTTGGACTTGGTAGCCTTCTACTCTTTTCCCCTCTCTGCAGAGAGAAGGAAAAAGCAAAGCAAACCCTAAGCAAACTCCCAGGGCAGCTGCAGCGTCTTCTTACCTCTTCGCTTGGAGGCCCGGAACCGCTCAGTCGGCGCTGGGGCTGGCACACCGCCTCTGCTCTGAGCCTTCTCCCCACTGTGCTCCACCTTCGCTGGTTTCTTGGCAGGACACAGCTCTGCTTGCTGCTCCTCTTCTTCCATGCCCTTGCGCTTTCTTGCGGCCACGGTCTTGCAGAAGGAGCGGTCGGCAACTGCAGGGGAAGCTCTTCCCCCTGTGCTGGGGCCTGCTGTTCCAGGAAGCCCTCCAGCCTGCAGGGGAGCTTTCACGTACATCTTGCCATTTGGCTCAGCTCCTCTCCCTGTTAGAATCAGGAAAGGGGAACAACAACATTCACTGAGTCCTGCACTACCTTCAGTCTGCAAAATGGGCCACAACATCAGGAAATCTCATCTCGAGGGCTCACAGCAATGGATCTTAGGATCTTGGCTGAACTGTGGAGTCCCACTTCCATTTGGGACGGGGAAGGTAATGGTAATCCCCAGGGATTAAGACCTAGAGCAACACGCAAGGACAACAGCCCCAGGAAAGGACAGACAGAAAGCCTAGCTAGAAACACAGGGCACCAAAACCCAGACGCCTGCTGTATGCCCGTACCTCTCTTGGGTGCTGGGCCACACTCCGTGCTCCTCCCCGGCCTTCCTGGAAGGCTGCGCTTCACTGCAAGCCTGCTTGCATCAGCTTCTGACAGAAAAGAAACAGCAAAGACATGAAGAGCATCTCTTTGGAGGAACATTCCAGCACAGCCAGCCACAAACTTCTGCTCTTCGAGTGTAGTTTCTTCAGTTTGCCTTTCTGCTGCTACAGCCTTGCGCCACTTCTGCAGCCAGCACAGATCTGCAGCGCCCTTTCCTCTCTCCTCCATCGCACACAGCCCTGCATGCAGCCCTCCTTACAGGCAGCACCCACACCACAGCTCACAGGAGCTTCTCACCTGGGGAGGCTTTCCGTTTCCCCCCGTGCCCAGCACCATCCCACGGACGCGCAGGCTCCGTCCCTGCAACAACAGATCCAGTGTGATTGCACAGACACCAGGAGCAGCGCTGTCCTGTCAGCCCACATCCACCCCCAAAAACCAGAAGACGCTGTTCTACAGCCAGAGCAGAAACTGATGTTCAAACTGCACTGTGCTTACACAAAGCAGTGCTGCTCTCTTTCCTGTCAGATGGCAGCAGAGGAACCCAGGTCTGCCTGACAGCTCTGCATTCTGCAGAGCAAAGCTGCATCAGCAACCAAAACGCTACCAGGTGCAAACGTGGAGACACGGATCTCTTGTCCCTAGAGGGAATGCGCTCAGCTCTGAGCAGCACCACTTAGACACAGACTTCTGTCTCGCTGCTGCCATCAGCTGCCGCTGTCGGCCTCTCTAATGCTTCCACCATGGTTACTGGACATCCCTGCAGCACTGCACCCGCTCAGAAGTAACACCTAGAATGCATTCTTCCATCCTTCATGGCAGAGGACTGAAGAGACTCACTTTTGCATGCTGCTAAGGATGCTCCATCCCCGTCGCGTCCCTTTGCGCGCTGCAAGGCCCAGCTGGCATCGGGGCAGCCTGCTGGCTGCTGCTCCCAAACACAGGGAACAGCACCGCATGGCTTCTGAGGAGAGAAAAAAGGAAGGTCCATGGAAACAGGCACCCAATGTTTGCAAAGAGATGCAGCATTCCACATTGCGCCAGAGATGGGACAGCAGAGTGCTGAGACATCAGTTGTCACTCAAGGAAACATTTGCAAGCGCATTCACAGCATCTGCACAAGCTGCAATTGCTGGGCATATCCAGCTTTCTTATCGTCCAGGTGCAGAAGACAGGCGCTCTCAGACAGCACTTCAGGGCTTGCACCAACACACCTGCAAACACCAGCATTACTCCGAGGGAAAAGGCGTCTTCAGGTGCCACAGTTCAACCCACGCCAAATTACCGTGCGCAGCCTTTGCTCTTCGCCCCCACTTCTTCCCCACGCTTTACTACTGCAGGCAGCTACAACAAACTTCTCAGCAGAAACCCAGGGCAGCAGGGACCTGGCAAACCAGAACCAGGCGCAGCTGGCAGGAGGGCAGCGCCCGCTCTCTGCTCCCACCCTGCCCCAGCAGGTTCACGAGCCTGGCAGTGCTGTTCTGCTGCTGCACGCACACAACCCAACCGCTTACTGAGCTCACAAAGGACCAGCAGGGCTCCCCCTGCTCCACCTCTTCCCCCTCCAGAACCTGAGAAAGGAAGAAAACCCAAGAGAGAGAAACCCAGCCATACCTTTCCACGCGCAAAGCAGGAATGGGAACTGTCTCCCTGCTGAGACATGCTGGGGAACGTCTCAGGGGAAGCTCAGCTTCCTGGGCTCCTCTCCACAGGCACAGCCCCCACTCTTGGACACAGCTGCCTTCACTGGCTTTCTTCAACTGCCTCGATTCCCAAAATCTCCTTTGGGAAACCAACCCGAAGGAAAGAACCTGCAAGTGAAAAATAGCGAGAAAGAAGCATTTTCCCAGCTTTCTGTTCTCTCTCCTGCTACGCACTTTAAACTATCGGGCAGAGCAATACTCCAAACCAACTGGCTACAAGAACTGTCCCCAAAACACAGCCAGCTTCCGTACAGCTGCCGTGACTTCTGGCACCAAGCGTTCTTCTCCATCTCCTCAATAGCTGCGCACCTTGAAGCACACGGCTGCTGTTGCTGTCGTGGAGAAAACTCCCTTTGCCTCACCGCCAGCCTGGACGAGGGCCGACACAGTGTGCCCACCCCAGCCCAGCTTTCCTGCTCAGACACCTCCTGCCAACCCCCCAGCACCAAACCCAGCTCACCTGCTCACGGCTCGGCCTCAGCTGTGCCCAGCTCACGCACACGCCGCAGCGCTGCTTCCAACCGGGCTCTCACAGATGATCTCTCAACGAAGCTCCACAACAGCTCAGCCTGCGTGCACCACGCTCACCAGAGCACCAGCTCTGCTCCCAGCTGGGGCACAAACGCTCCCAGCCCGGCAACGACTGTGACCTCAGCGAGTGCCTGCATCACCGCTGTGCTTTCATCACAGCAAAGGGAGTGGTGGTCACCTCCTACATCCAAAGGCTGAGAAACCAACTCAAGCGTCACCCAGTGGAGTTAGTTGAAGTAAAGGAACAGAGAAATTCAGATGACTCCTGAGCAGCCAGCTTGGGTCACACTCTTGCTCAGGCACTGCACAATCACACCAAGCAGATGCTGCTTCCTGCCTGCCTACAGCTTGGCTGCTGGAAAGGTTTGGGCTTCCAAACAATCAGCAAGTATTCGGATAAGCCAGCCCTCTGTTTTTTAGGAAGGCAGAAAAGTCCTTCTTTCAAGCCAGCTTGCAAAGGCAGAACAGCTCTGTTCCTGGGCCGCAGCACCCCATGGCCCGGCATTGCTCCAACACTGGGGCTGCACTTCCCCTGGGCATCCACACTTGCTCCAGCTCTCTTGCAGCTTTCTGCAAGCTTTGGGGCTTCCTGCTGAAGAGTTCCTCACCTTCTTCTGCAAGATCATTCCTGCTTCCTCTGCATTCAGACCAAAGATGCCGCAGAGCCCATTAGCCTGCAGTTCCTTCCTCACATCAGAAATTGCTCCTGCACTGGCCTTCACTCACACTGTGATACCGCCCACTTCCAGCACGAGCTGCCCTGCAAGGCACAGAAATAAAAGGTGCGATGAAGGCAAACTCACAAGCCCAAGGCTGTGTCACTACCACGTGTTGCAGCCTGGGCAAGTCAGCCGCAACTGGAACCTTGCTCAGAATTAAGACAGGCACCGTACATTAAGGCACACCTCCAAACAGAAATGAGTGCCGCGCTCAGAAATAAATACCACAATCACTCACTTTGCTGTAGGTGGTTACCTCCACATTCCTGTGCATTTAGGAAAACAGGGACTCGGAATTGAAGGATAGGACAAAAAAAACCAACATCAGCTTCGCCGATGGTGGTGAAACTTGGAAACACGACTCAAAAAGAGAAGGTTTTCAACTCCTTGTAAGGCACAAAGCGATGGGCCCACGCCTGCACAAAGCCTGATCTGCTCTGCCACACGTGGCTGAGTGACACAGAAGCTGAGCTGCCCATTCAGCAGCGCTTACACACCAACGCGCGGGGTGCCAACATTCCTCGGGCATTTCCCATCAGAAGGGAAATCCCTTCTCCCTGCCATGCCGTGTCCACAGGGCTGGACTGACACAGGCAGCACACAATCCATGCAAACCTTCTTTCCTCATCGTGGTGCTTTTTGACAGACCCAAACAATCAGACATCAGGTCGCTGCGCGGGCTGCTGGCTCACACCGCCATCATTTCCACACCGTTGCTTCCTGGAAGCAAACTAAGTAAAGTACTTCCAGGGAATCCCACACACAGATGGCATATTTTACTATTCTTTGACACAAAGCAGAAGGACAAAATGGGAGAGGCGTGCAGCTGCATCAGCAGCCCAGTTGCTAAAGGAGTGCAAAGACAGAAATACCCAAAGTCAATGCATTATTCTAAGACAAGGAGGGAAGACGTTTCTAATATATCATTTTTTATCATTTAAAATAGACGGGGGGCACTCTGAGAGGAAAATCCTAGGCCTCAAGTTCTGACAGGCATAAAATAAAGCCACAGCCCCTGCCACAAAGGCCGGCTCATCACATCCTATCGTTACCCCAGGAGCACTTGGCAACTCAGGCAAAGTGGGCCGTGCAGAGAAGATGGCTGCATTTCTTCTTCTCCTGGCCCAGAAATTGGTTTTCCTACCTTAGAAAATAAAGGACAAAAACCTGACACAGCGTAGAAAGGGCGGGCAGCGTGGCACACCAAGGCAGCAGGAGCGTGCTGAACCTGCACAACATTGGAAACTTCCACCTTGCCTCCCAGAGCAACCTACATCTTCCACATCCACTCCTGCTTTCACCACTCTTTGTAACAAAGGTGTTTTAGCAGCTGGGGCTCCTCCCCGTCCTCAGAGGAGGACTCACAGCACTCAGGTGCATCTCAGCTCCATTCCTTTCTGCGCCCGCTCTCTGGGGACGGTGGGTTTCCCATCACAAGGCTTCACACACACCGTGCGTTCAGCTCAGGGAAAGGAAGGCAGAACTGATGCAGTCTGGCTGTCCAAGAGAAATGCAGCTTCTCATTCCCACAGTCCTTCCAGCAGTTCAGTACATCTGCCCAGCACAAGTACACTGCCATGCCCTGCATTCGCAGTTGGATCCAAGAAAACAAACAGCTACACTCACTGATCACCCAGGACAAGGAAAACTCACACTCACAACAACCCCAAGTCAAAGCACTACTTCTCCCAAACGCTGCCTCAAGCTCCTCCTGCTCCCCCTCAACTCTTTCCTCACAAGGCCACTCCTCTGCTTTTTCTTTCTCTTCCTCTGATTGCTTGCCTTTTTCTGCAGCCAGGCCTTGGGAGAAAGCTGGGATGCAAACCGCACTGAACTGTCCCAGCAACCGACAAGCACAAAACCTGGGCAGAAAGACAGTGCATCAAGTCCACATGCCTGTCGTGTTTCTTCAGTTTGCCTTTCCCCTGCGCTGACATTCCACCATCTTCACACTCAACACAAGGCACTTTCCTGTCTCCTCCCTCACACACACCCTTTCACACAGCCCTATTTAGCTCAAGGCACCCAGACTACAGCTCACAGGATGTTCTCACCCACACAGGCTCCCCGTTTTCTCCCTTCTCAGTCAGAGTCAATCGAATCCCATGCCTCATCCTTGAAACAAAGTATGGCTTTTCCGTGCCACAGAAACCAGTCGCCAATAGAATCCTCGTCCTGTTCACCCACGTCCACCCAAATCCTTCCATCACGCTGCTTCTACAGCTGTGGTGAGCTGCCCTGCCTGTTTCCTCCAAAGTTACACGCATTACTTTTTACTTTTTATTCTCTTCTTTGCCTTTTTGTTTTTCATTTCTCTTTTTTCCTGCTTACACTCCCATTTGGGACTTTTTTCCTTTTTTTTTTTTCCATTCTCATTTTTCTACTTTTCTTTTCTCCTGATCCCTGGAGATGCTCCATATCCACCTACTCTCCCCCTTCACCCCCGTCATCCTGCCTATATCTGTGCCTCTCTCTTGATCTCTCTGCACATTCCCGTTCAGCACACGGTGCAGCCCCATATTACCCTCTATTCTCCCGTGCCCACACAAGCCCCCTATTGCTCCCCTACAGCCTTTTATAACCTCATGTGCCTCTATGTCCCACCTGCACCCACCCGCAGACCCCTGTTGTGCCCGTTTCTCCATATCGCACCCATAGCCCTCCCACTGCTCCCTGCAGCCCCACATCCCTTCTGTCCCACCTGTATTCCCCCTACAGACGCTCATACAGCCCTATTTCCTTACATCCTCCCCCAGCCCCCACATCCCTCCCCATATCCCTCCCCAGCCCCTCCCACCCCCCCAATGCTCCCTACAGCACCGTGTCCCCGTTACCCCCTCACAGCCCTCTGCTCCCCTAAATCCCCCTGCACCCACCCTATAGCCCCATATACCCCCATACCACAGCCCACTGCAGCCCCGTGGGCCTCCCTGGATGCCCCCGGCCTTCCCAGCCCCTCACCCCACAACGCTTCCTTCCCTGGCCCGGTGCTGCTCTCCATCTCTCCCGCCTCCGGCGCCGCTGTCCTCAGCACCGCTCCCGTCGTGCCGCGCTTCCGTCTCGGTGCTGCCCGGAGCTCCGGCGCTCAGCGGCGATGCAGCGCTGCCGGGGCTGCGGGAGCGCAGCCGTCTGAGGGGAGAGCGGCTCTGAGCCGGTGGAAAAACGGCCGCTCCCGCGCGCCGCGCCTCAGCCAATCGGAGCCGGCGGCGCTGCCGCTGACAAGTGAGAGCCCGAGGGCGGGACGGACCGGCACCTGACCAATGAAAGCCCGGGAGCGGGACGGACAGGGGCCTGACAAATGAAAGCCCGGGAGCGGGACGAACAGGCACCTGACCAATGAGAGCCCGGGGGCGGGACGGACAGGGGCCTGACCAATGAAAGCCCGGGAGCGGGACGGACAGGGGCCTGACAAATGAAAGCCCGAGGGCAGGACAGACTGGAACCTGACCAATGAGAGCCAGAGGGCTGCTCAAATGCCGGCCTGTCCCATGAGAGCCGGGGAGGGGGGAGGGAACGGCGCTGGGCTGCTGGTGGGAGGAGCGTGGGCAGGGGGCGGGGCCTCGTGGTGCAGCCTACTGCTCTAGGGGGTGGGAGATGGGGCTGGGATTGACAGGTGGGAGGTGGGGCTGGGACGTGGGATTGGGAAGCAGGTTTGGAATTGGGGTTGGGAGGTGCGGTGAGGAGGTTGGATTTGGCAGGGGGATGTGAAAGTTAAGATCGGGCTGTGGGGACATGGATATGGGGTGGATGCGGAGTGGGAGATCAGAAAATGGAATATGTATGGGATGGGCTTGGGGTGGACGTGGGATCAACGTGGGAAGAACGCGGGATGGATTGGGGATGAAATAAGGATATGGGGTGGGATTGGGATGATGATGGCATGGGATAAGAGATACGGATTTGGAATGGATATGGATATAGGATAAGGGATGGGGATAGGATGTGGGGTGTGGACATGGGATGGGTTTGAGATGGCTGTGGGGTGGATATGATGGATATGGGATGGGATAAAGCTGTGGGACACGGATAAGGGATGGCTATGAGATGGGGCTGCAGCGGTTGCGGGGCCATAGGGGCTCAGGGAATGAGAAGAAGCTCTAAAGGAGCTTGAAGCCTCTCTGGTGTTGCATTGCCTCCTACGGTACTGACCTAAAACTGCGGGGGGTCTCGCAGTTGCCCACAACACTCTGGGTAAACCAAAAGAGATGCAGTAATTTAAGGACGCCGATGGCCTGAAGTGCCATTTGATTTGGTGTTTGTTATCTGCAGCCATCGTGTGTTTGCCAGCTTCTTCTCCCTTTAAAGCACTCGCAATACGGAGTTGGAAGTTGATCAGATGGCTTTAATAGTGAAGCTGACAGGAGCTGCCAGTGCTGCTGGAGCCCTGTTCTGTGCTGCTGTCTGCGATGGGTGCATGGAGCAGCACTGAACGCCTGCAGCTGTTTCCTTACGCAGACATAACCCTGCCTCCTGTCGTTTTTATTTCATCGATAGCTTTGCTTTGCTGTTCTTTCCTTGTCTCTGCTGCATAAGAAGTGTTGAATCCCAGCCTGAACCCCTGACGGAGCAGCTGAGGAAAGGACCCGGTCAGCCCTGGGAGCGCAGCTGAAGGCCATGGAGCTCTGTGGCCGGAAGGGGCAGAGCCTGGCTGCCCCTCTTGCAGCTCATTGAAGGGCTGGCTGGAAGGGGGAGGGTTTGTTTCTGGATGGTTCTCTGCCGTGGAGTTTGTTCTGTCGGTGTAAATCCTTGGAGATGGTGAGCAGTCCTTTTCCTGCCTCTGCAATATGCTGGTATTGTGCTGGTGTTTCTGCCGCAACGTGCGTGATGGCTTTCTTCCTGCTTTGCTTTTTGTGTAAGGGCCGGGGGCCGTTTTTTTCTGTGCTGCTGTGTTGTTGCAGCTGCTTTTCTGTATCGTCGTTGCTTTTTTTGCTCATGAGTATTAAAACACGTTGTTTCTGCATTCGCTGTCATCCAGCTTTCTTTTCTCTGTTTCGCAGGTCAGCTCGTGCTGGCAGGCGGTGGTGTCACTGTGAATGAAGGTCAGTTCAGGAGCAGCTGCTGATGGAAGCAATGAAGGCTGCGTTGATGAACTGAAGCATCTCCTGGTGAGGTGTCAGAGCCAGCAGTAGCGACGTCTGTCTGTCATTGTGGAAACCAGAGGGCTGGCTCATCCTAGAGCTTGCTGATTGGTGTGTGAGAGCATCTGCCTTCTCCAGCTGCATGATAAGAAAACTAAACGTGCTGAATCATTGCAGCTTATGCTGAGGTTGTGAATATGCATTCCAATGTTTCCTTTAGTGATGAGCTGTATTTCAGCACTGCGACGGCCCTGTCTCTGATCTGGAGCACTTGCATCTAAGCCTTGTGTGCCTGTTTCCACGAACCTTCCTTTCTTTCACTTTTCTGAAGTGCTTTTGGGGGAATCATGCAGGAGGCTGTCAGAAAGCCCACTGTAATTTCCATAACGTGAAGGGATGCAATGGGAACGGTCTGTCAGAACTGAGCTTCTTATGTCACGATAGATATCATCTCGGTTATCGATTACGAGCAGTTGCAGTGCGATAGGGGCCTGAAGTAACTGGGAGTCGAGGGAAAAGCCATGAGAAGTGAAATGGCAGTTTGTGTTTTGGCTGCCAAAATGGGGGAGCTTTACTGGAGTGAAAGCTGTGTGCTTTGTGCAGGCAGGCCCCGGGTTGATCTCTGTAAGCAGAGGCCCCCTCTCAGGTTGGTCTTTGCTGCTTGCTGTGCCTCCCTGCCTGCTCTTTGCTTGCTGCATCTGGTTCCAGTGGTTGTGGCCGGGCTCCCCAGGGCTGTGGGCCTGGTCCTGAGCTGCTGCAGCTGGAAGACCGTCTGCGTTTGGGTTGTCCTTCCTGGAGCATCAGGTTGGAGCTGGTGATCCTTGTGGATCCCTGACAACTCGGGGCGTTCTGTGATTCTATGATCTTGGTGGTTTCCCTGGAAAACAGCAGATGATTTTTTTATCCCTTCATGTTTTCCTGGCATTTAAACTTGTGGTTGCACTTCTGAATGTGAGAGCGGAGTTGGATAAGGGGAGGTAAGTTGCTTCTTTACTTGCTGTTCTGCCAGGTGGGTCTGTGTATTTAGTGCCCAAGTTGTGGTGGCTCTGTAACTAGGGATGTTCCTAATGGTCGTAAAAAGACTCTGCTGCCAGCACAGAATTTGGCCACTGCTGGATTAAGTTCTGTAGATTGAATATCTGCTCTTTGAGATGGTCTGTTCTGTTTATCTTTTCCAAGACGTCAGGTTTTGAGGTCGCTGAGATGGACGGATTAATCAATCCCTTGCATCCTGTTTGAGCTTGAAGCCGTTGAATCGTCCCACACAGCGCTGTGAAATCAAACCTTACAATGGCTTTGGGATCGTGGCTCTGCGCTGGGCTGTGCCACCAAAACGTGTTGGCGTTTGATGCTCTGGGTGGGTTTTATTTTTGAAGTGAGCTCTGGGAATCACTGAAGTTGAGCAGAGGAGCCTCAGTGGTGTGGTTGTATCAGGTGTGCCTGATCTCATGAGGACGGGTGGCCTTTGAGTGGAGTTCAGGCTCTGAGCCCTCAAAGCAGGAATGGAACGAGTTCCGGGTGATAGCAAGGCTGATGCAGAAAGGTTGGGATGAAGCTGTCCCAGAAGAGGGAAGAAGGATCCCAGAGATCCTTAGCAGCCTGGCTGGTGTGTGATGGAATTACTGAGACGTTCCTTCCTCTGTGCTGATGAAGCAGCTGCTGTTACATAGGGCATGAAGGCATTGGGTCTTAGCTGCAAAGCACAGTGAAGGCAGTTGGAAGGCAGGCAGGTGACGAGTTGGAATCCTATTGTGCTCTCGCCCCGAGGAAGTGAGAAATCTCCTGAGCATCCAGTCTTCTCCACGAGCCTTCCATTGCCTTGCCACAATGCCTCTAAATGCCTGTAGCAATGGTGGGGGGATAAATGGGGAAGAGATGAGGTGCCATTTGTGCGCACGCTCTGTGCACGGAGCAGGCGTCACCTGCTGCGAGCTGGGAGCCCTGCAGAGCATCACGGATTTGTTTTCCTTCCTTGTTGGAGCGATGCCCCATGCGAGGCCCCATCTGGAATACTGCGTCCAAGTGTGGAGCCCACAGTGCAGAAAGGACAGGGAGCTGTTGGAGAGGGTCCAGAGGAGGGCTGCTAGGATGGTCAGGGGACTGGAGCAGCTCCCCGCTGAGGACAGGCTGAGGGAGCTGGGCTTGTTCAGCCTGGAGAGAAGAAGGCTGCGGGGTGACCTCATTGCAGCCTTCAGTACCTAAAGGGAGCCTACAGAGGGGAGGGGAATCAACTCTGTGAAAGGGTTGATATGTGTAGGACGTGGGGTCCCCCCATGGGGTCACTGGGTTTTGGGTCGCAGGGCTGACATTCGTGGACCCCCCACGTGGAGCCGCCCCCCCGGCAGCAGACGAGTTGGGTGCGAAGGCCAGGCAGCGGGGAGCTGCACTGCGGGGCGGGGGGGGAGGGGGAGGAGCGAGGGTTGAACTGGGATGGTTGGGGTGAACTGGGATGGTTGGGTTTGAACTGGGATGCTTGGGGTGAACTGGGAGAAGGTTGGGGTGAACTGGGAGAAGGTTGGGGTTGAACTGGGATGCTGGGGTTGAACTGGGATGGTTGGGGTGAACTGGGAGAAGGTTGGGCTTGGACTGGGAGAAGGTTGGGGTTGGACTGGGATGCTGGGGTTGAACTGGGATGGTTGGGGTGAACTGGGATGTTGGGGGTGAACTGGGATTTTGGTTTGGTTACTGGGTGAAGGTTGGGGTTGGACTGGGATGTTGGGGTTGAACTGGGGCTCTGGGCCGGGTTGTTTGAGCTGTGCTGACTTATGGGGCGCTGTGGGTCTGGGCCGCTGCTGAGCCCCATTTTGCCCCTCAGGTTGGCGGAGAAGAAGGCGTCCATCGGCTACACGTACGAGGACAGCACCGTGGCCGAGCTGGAGAACGCGGCCGAGAAACGCGGCGACGACGAGGAGAGCGAGGAGGAGAGCAACACGGATGAGGACGAGGTCATCCCTGACAGCGGTGAGAGAAGGGGAACCCAGGTTAATTAACAGGCTGCTAATGAGCGGCGCCGGGCGCTGAGCGCTGTGCCTGGCGCAGACATGGAGGTGGACGTGGACGAGCTGAACCAGGAGCAGGTGGCCGACCTCAACAAGCAGGTGACCACCTACGGCATGGCGGAGGGCGACTTCGTGCGGTAGGGACCCCCCCCAAATGGAAACAGGGGGGTGTGGGGGGGCTTTTGGGGGGCGGCGCTGAGAGGGGCTGCGCTGTGGGGCAGGATGCTGAGGAAGGACAAGGAGGAGGCGGAAGCCATCAAGAACGCCAAGGCGCTGGAGGAGGAGAAGGCCATGTATTCGGTGAGCGGCTGCGCGCCCCCCCGTGGAGCCGTGGGGCAGCTGGGGGTCGCGGCCCCCCGACTTGGGGGTCCCACGGGTGGCGGGGTTTCCAACCAAGGGAAGAATGTTGAAATGGCTCCAAAACTCGTTTAATTTTCACTTAATCTCAATCTTGCCCTGCAGGTGGGATTTTGCTCTACATAACATCTGACTGATTGGAAGAGCCCTAATGGCCGCCTCCATTCAGCATCCACTCACGCTATTCTTCCCTTAAAGCAGGACTCTGAATCCTGATGTCGCCGTACGCTCTGCAAACTGGAGAAAAAAGAGGCAAAGTAGAGAATAAAAAGTAGAAAGCAACGCACGTCACTGTAGAGAAGCCAGCAGGAAAGCTCAGCATAGGAGGGCTGTGGGCAGCCCCTGTGTCACAGCCCAACGTTTGGGGCAGCCCTCTGGGGCCCCGTCTCTGCCCTCCCCCACAGAAAACTTGGTTCCCATGGGGTGGGGTTGACACCCCTCTCGTTTGTAATTAAGGTTTATTTTTGATCAAGGGGATTTGGGGATGTCCTCTGCATGTAAATAAGGGGCGCAGGAGCGGCTGTGGGGCTCCATATGTCACCCTGGGGGTAAACTTTGGGGACAGAGGTCAGGGCAGCATCCTGGCCCCACAACCCCTATGGCGCCGCAACCGCTGCAGCCCCATCTCATAGCCATCCCTTATCCGTGTCCCACAGCTTTATCCCATCCCATATCCATCATATCCACCCCACAGCCATCTCAAAACCATCCCATGTCCACACCCCACATCCTATCCCCATCCCTTATCCTATATCCATATCCATTCCTAATCCGTATCTCTTATCCCATGCCATCATCATCCCAATCCCACCCCATATCCTTATTTCATCCCGAATCCATCCCACGTTCTTCCCACGTTGATCCCACGTCCACCCCAAGCCCATCCCATACATATTCCATTTTCTGATCTCCCACTCCGCATCCACCCCATATCCATATCCCCACAGCCCGATCTTAACTTTCACATCCCCCTGCCAAATCCAACCTCCTCACCGCACCTCCCAACCCCAATTCCAAACCTGCTTCCCAATCCCACGTCCCAGCCCCACCTCCCACCTGTCAATCCCAGCCCCATCTCCCACCCCATAGAGCAGTAGGCTGCACCACGAGGCCCCGCCCCCTGCCCACGCTCCTCCCACCAGCAGCCCAGCGCCCTTCCCTCCCCCTCCCCGGCTCTCATGGGACGGACCGGCACTTGACCAGACCTCGGGCTCTCATCGGTCAGGTTCCGGTCCGTCCCGCCCTCGGGCTCTCATTGGTCAGGTGCCTGTCCGTCCCGCTCCCGGGCTTTCATTGGTCAGGTTCCGGTCCGTCCCGCCCTCGGGCTCTCATTGGTCAGGTTCCAGTCCGTCCCGCTCCCGGGCTTTCATTGGTCAGGTTCCGGTCCGTCCCGCCCTCGGGCTTTCATTGGTCAGGTGCCTGTCCGTCCCGCTCCCGGGCTGTCATTGGTCAGGTGCCTGTCCGTCCCGCCCTCGGGCTTTCATTGGTCAGGTTCCGGTCCGTCCCGCCCTCGGGCTCTCATCGGTCAGGTTCCTGTCCGTCCCGCTCCCGGGCTTTCATTGGTCAGATGCCTGTCCGTCCCGCTCCCGGTCTTTCATTGGTCAGGTGCCGGTCCGTCCCGCTCCCTGGCTTTCATTGGTCAGGTGCCGGTCCGTCCCGCCCTCGGGCTCTCATTTGTCAGCGGCAGCGCCGCCGGCTCCGATTGGCTGAGGCGCGGCGCGCGGGAACGGCCGTTTTTCCACCGGCTCAGAGCCGCTCTCCCCTCAGACGGCTGCGCTCCCGCAGCCCCGGCAGCGCTGCATCGCCGCTGAGCGCCGGAGCTCCGGGCAGCACCGAGACGGAAGCGCGGCACGACGGGAGCGGTGCTGAGGACAGCGGCGCCGGAGCCGGGAGAGATGGAGAGCAGCACCGGGCCAGGGAAGGAAGAGTTGTGGGGTGAGGGGCTGGGAAGGCCGGGGGCATCCAGGGAGGCCCACGGGGCTGCAGTGGGCTGTGGTATGGGGGTATATGGGGCTATAGGGTGGGTGCAGGGGGATTTAGGGGAGCAGAGGGCTGTGAGGGGGTAACGGGGACACGGTGCTGTAGGGAGCATTGGGGGGTGGGAGGGGCTGGGGAGGGATATGGGGAGGGATGTGGGGGCTGGGGGAGGACGTAAGGAAATAGGGCTGTATGAGCGTCTGTAGGGGGAATACAGGTGGGACAGAAGGGATGTGGGGCTGCAGGGAGCAGTGGGAGGGCTATGGGTGCGATATGGAGAAACGGGCACAACAGGGGTCTGCGGGTGGGTGCAGGTGGGACATAGAGGCACATGAGGTTATAAAAGGCTGTAGGGGAGCAATAGGGGGCTTGTGTGGGCACGGGAGAATAGAGGGTAATATGGGGCTGCACCGTGTGCTGAACGGGAATGTGCAGAGAGATCAAGAGAGAGGCACAGATATAGGCAGGATGACGGGGGTGAAGGGGGAGAGTAGGTGGATATGGAGCATCTCCAGGGATCAGGAGAGAAAAAAAAGTAGAAAAATGAGAATGGAAAAAAAAAAAAAAAGGAAAAGACTGAGAAATAAAAAAGTCCCAAATGGGAGTGTAAGCAGGAAAAAAGAGAAATGAAAAACAAAAAGGCAAAGAAGAGAATAAAAAGTAAAAAGTAATGCATGTAACTCTGGAGGAAACAAGCAGGGCAGCTCACCACAGCAGAGCAAAGGAAAGCAGAGGAAGGCAGCGAATGAGAGCAAGCAAGCTTCCAGGAGCAGAGGAAGGTGGGAAGAGCTGAGCCCCGGCTTGCCGCAGAGCTGCGCGGAAGGAGGAGAAGCTGGGCCCAAAGGTGAGAGGGGTTTGGTCCTTTGGGCTGTGGGCTTGAAGCAAAGCGGAGAAGCCGTGCCCGGGAGGAGGTGTGGGGAGCTACAGGGCACCTTGCCGTCTCCCCAAGAGATGCGGGCTGCGGGCTGGGCAGCGGGCAGGAGTGCTGTCCAGAAGCAAGCATCTCTGTGGAGAAAGGCAAAGGGCGGAGGAGGTGGAAGGGTAGCATCCGTATCCCACAGCTTTATCCCATCCCATCTCCATCATATCCTGGGAGGGATTGGGAGAGATTGGGAGCGAGCAGCAGGAAAAGGCAAGAGCATCAAGGAACAGCAGGTGAGGGGCCAGCAGCTGAGGTAGGGGAAGGGAACGGCGTGCAGCTCAGTTAGGTAGGGGATGGGACAGCAGCTCAGCTGGGAATGTGAGGGGCAGAAGGTCAGCGAGGAAAGTGAGGGGAAAGCTGCTCAGCTAGTCAAGTGAGTGGGTAGCAGGTCAGCTTCTCCACGAGCTCTTTAACTCTTTTTCCCTGTCTCCTCTCTCCTTTACTTTGTTTTCAGTTCTCCTCTGCTCTTTTTCTTTCCATCTCCTCTCTCCTCTTACTGCTGCATCTGCACTCCTCTGCTTCTGCTTTTATCTTCTGCCTTTTATCTCTGCTCACTCCTCTTTCATCTGCATATTTACTCCAGTTCTTCTACTCTTACTTCCCTGTATCTTCACACAGTTTCCTTCTGTGTCTGCTCGTCACTTTGGCTTTCTTTCTTCCATTTATCCTCACTTTTCTTTGCATCTGCACTCCTCTTCTCCTTTCTTTTCTCTATCCTCTCCTATTTCTTCTGCTTCTGCTCTCCTCTCTGCTTTTCTTTGTTCCCTGTATCCTGTCTTATTTTTTGTCTGCATCTGTTCCTCTTCTGCTGTTCTTTTTCTCCCTGTATTTTCACTCCTCTTTCTGCTCTCCTCTCCTGACCTTCCTTCCCTGAGTTGCCACACGTCTTCTTCATCTGCACTCCTTTTCTGCTATTCCTTCTCTACTGTCATCTCTCCTGTTTCTTCATCTGCTCTCTTTCACTGTTTTTCTCTTCCTAGCACGATCTGCTCTCCTTTAGTGCTCTTTAATTCTCTGCTCTTCTGCTCGCTTCTTTTCTTGTGCTCTTCTCACACCTCTCTTTCCTCTCTTCCCATTTCCTGTCCTTCTGTCCCAGATCTTTTCTCCAGTCTCCTCTCCAGCTCCTCTGTGCTTCTGCTTTTCTGTCTTATCTGTATCCTTTCCATCATGCCAGTCCCTTTGTCGTGATAGCTCCTGTCCCACCATTCCACCTTGTTGATCTTCCTCCCTGTTACAGATGCCATCCGTCCCTTCCCGCCCTCCCTGGACTGTCCGTGTGCCAGCTCCAGTTGCTGCCCAGCTTTTGGAGGACTGGCTGTGAGCACACAGTGTTGCCAATGCCTTGTGCCCTGGATTTCACAGCATCCTGATGGCAAGGAGTGGCCTTGTGAGGATGCTGAGTGACGCTCTGGAGCACTGCTCTATTCCTGGACCAGTATCCCAAGCTCTTGCGAGCTGAGAGCCCGTCTCTGTTTTTGCCTGGGGTTCAGTGGCACAGTTAGCAAGCATGGACTTTGCCAGCCTTCTCGTTTCAGCTTCAATGGGCAAATGGCAGCAGGGCAATCCTGCAGCTCATGGCAGCCCTGTGGCTCTGCCCCTTTGCCAGGCTGGAGAGCTGAATCAGCTGGCAGATGTGGGACCAGTTGTCCTCCTGCCTGTTGATCCCGATCCTTCCCAGGTCCTGCTGCTAACCATTGCTAAGAGGAGCAGGTAACAGACAGAAGGGTCTGGCCTTCTGCTGGGTGAGAGCCCCGTGCGTGATCTGTTCCTGCTTTCTTTTTTTCCCCAGGTAGCCCTGTGCTTCCCAGGATGTGTGTGAACCTTTGTGATGGGAGTGAGCAGCAAGGAAGCGAGCGGGTCGCAGCTTCCATCCTGCCCTGCACCTGAGTGAGGGACAGCGTGCCCTGCTCAGGAGGTAAGAGGTGGCTGCCGTGCCACCCTGTGGTGCCAGCATTTCCCCCTGAAGCGTGTTTTCCCCTGGAGTTTGCTCTCTACTGGGAGATTTGGGCTTTGGGAGCGTCTTGTGAGTCCTGTTCTTCAGAAAGGGTGAGTAATTCTGTCTTGATGTACTGGTTTGTGTTCTTTACCTTTCCTGGGTAATTTAGGGCTGTTTCAAGCAGCCGTACTTTCTGTGGCCCTTGTGTGCGTTCTGGAGATGGGACACCGTTTCGGGTTGGGTTTATGGGTGAAGAGGTAGCATTGTAATGAAGCGGAAAGGGTGGTGTCACCATCTGTGGAGGTGTTGAAGGAGTGTTTAGATGTTGTGCTGAGGGACACGGTGTAGTGGGAAACGTTGGTGATAGGTGGATGATTGGACTGGATGATCTTCGAGGTCTTCTGCAATGTGGTGATTGTGTGATTCCTCAGGTTTCTGCTTCTGGCCTGCGAGGAGGTGTTGGCATTTAGTGCTACAACTGAGTGCCGAGGTTAAGCCTTGTGGGTTAGAGTTTTGTGTTAGTGCTCTCTGTTAGGTTTAAAGGTGAAGGCGTTATCATTTTGGATGCGGGTTGAGGAGTATCTTTGGGGTGAGTGTTCCAAGTTAGCCTTTGGGGTTAAAGGGTTGAGAGCTGCCCTATGAGGTTAGTGCTAGTGGCTGTGCTGAATCATGGCTTGAGGCACAGTTTTCCACCAGGTAGAAAGGCAGGGCCAACCCAGGGGAGCTGAGGGGCATGTGATGTTCCTGAATGACAGAAGCCAGGCTCCACCCCTTCCCAGCCCTCACTGAAGTGGAAGCCTGGCAGTGGAGGCAAGGGGATCTCCCTGGAGATCCCTGCCTGCCTGAGTCCTTCTGAAGGTAAGCAGCTTCGTCCCTTGCCTTCTGAGCCCACGGCTGTTGCCTTTGAGCAAATCCTCCCTTGCTGCAGCCTTGGACCTTGCTCCTCTGCTGTCATGGCTGTGCTTTGCATCGGGCCTGGCCTCGTGGGGCTCGGCCCCGTAGGCCCTGCTGGCTGCTAGTGGTGTTGGTTGGTGGTTGGTGGTGGTTGCAGTAGCAAATGGCCGAAGCATTTCCTCAGTGCTCAGACTAAGGAGATAAGTGAGAAAACAGGAAAGTCTTGAGAGGTAAGAGTGAGCGATGGCAGTGCTGTACCGGGAGCTATAGTAGAAGCAACAGAGAGGCTGACAGTGGCTGGTAGTGGCAGTGGAGCTAAACGAGTCTGTGTGCCAATGGTGGTTCCTAGAGCTGCCTCTGTTCGCTGGAGAGGCCAAACAGTGTGGAGGTACGTGTACTGCCGGCTGTTTGGCTCAGGAGTGAAGTGTGTTTCTCAGCTGGCGCACCTGATGGCGTTGTGTTTGCTCGTGCAGCTGTGCTCTGCGCGTTGTAGAGCTGTCAGGCAGACATGGGTTGATTTGCCATCTTAGCAGGAATGAGACTTTGTGTGAGTGCATGGCAGTTGAGCAGTGAGCTTGTTTTGGCTGTAGAAGCAGCGTGATTGAAGGATTTGGGTGGACGTGGGTGAACAGGACGAGGATTCTATTGGCGACTGGTTTCTGTGGCACGGAAAAGCCATACTTTGTTTCAAGGATGAGGCATGGGATTCGATTGACTCTGACTGAGAAGGGAGAAATCAGGGAGCTTGTGTGGGTGAGAACATCCTGTGAGCTGTAGTCTGGGTGCCTTGAGCTAAATAGGGCTGTGTGAAAGGGTGTGTGTGAGGGAGGAGACAGGAAAGTGCCTTGTGTTGAGTGTGAAGATGGTGGAATGTCAGCGCAGGGGAAAGGCAAACTGAAGAAACACGACAGGCATGTGGACTTGATGCACTGTCTTTCTGCCCAGGTTTTGTGCTTGTCGGTTGCTGGGACAGTTCAGTGCGGTTTGCATCCCAGCTTTCTCCCAAGGCCTGGCTGCAGAAAAAGGCAAGCAATCAGAGGAAGAGAAAGAAAAAGCAGAGGAGTGGCCTTGTGAGGAAAGAGTTGAGGGGGAGCAGGAGGAGCTTGAGGCAGTGTTTGGGAGAAGTAGTGCTTTGACTTGGGGTTGTTGTGAGTGTGAGTTTTCCTTGTCCTGGGTGATCCCTGAGTGTAGCTGTTTGTTTTCTTGGATCCAACTGCGAATGCAGGGCATGGCAGTGTACTTGTGCTGGGCAGATGTACTGAACTGCTGGAAGGACTGTGGGAATGAGAAGCTGCATTTCTCTTGGACAGCCAGACTGCATCAGTTCTGCCTTCCTTTCCCTGAGCTGAACGCACGGTGTGTGTGAAGCCTTGTGATGGGAAACCCACCGTCCCCAGAGAGCGGGCGCAGAAAGGAATGGAGCTGAGATGCACCTGAGTGCTGTGAGTCCTCCTCTGAGGATGGGGAGGAGCCCCAGCTGCTAAAACACCTTTGTTACAAAGAGTGGTGAAAGCAGGAGTGGATATGGAAGATGTAGGTTGCTCTGGGAGGCAAGGTGGAAGTTTCCAATGTTGTGCAGGTTCAGCACGCTCCTGCTGCCTTGGTGTGCCACGCTGCCCGCCCTTTCTACGCTGTGTCAGGTTTTTGTCCTTTATTTTCTAAGGTAGGAAAACCAATTTCTGGGCCAGGAGAAGAAGCAATGCAGCAATCTTCTCTGCACGGCCCACTTTGCCTGAGTTGCCAAGTGCTCCTGGGGTAACGATAGGATGTGATGAGCCGGCCTTTGTGGCAGGGGCTGTGGCTTTATTTTATGCCTGTCAGAACTTGAGGCCTAGGATTTTCCTCTCAGAGTGCCCCCCGTCTATTTTAAATGATAAAAAATGATATATTAGAAACGTCTTCCCTCCTTGTCTTAGAATAATGCATTGACTTTGGCTATTTCTGTCTTTGCATTCCTTTAGCAACTGGGCTGCTGATGCAGCTGCACGCCTCTCCCATTTTGTCCTTCTGCTTTGTGTCAAAGAATAGTAAAATATGCCATCTGTGTGTGGGATTCCCTGGAAGTACTTTACTTAGTTTGCTTCCAGGAAGCAACGGTGTGGAAATGATGGCGGTGTGAGCCAGCAGCCCGCGCAGCGACCTGATGTCTGATTGTTTGGGTCTGTCAAAAAGCACCACGATGAGGAAAGAAGGTTTGCATGGATTGTGTGCTGCCTGTGTCAGTCCAGCCCTGTGGACACGGCATGGCAGGGAGAAGGGATTTCCCTTCTGATGGGAAATGCCCGAGGAATGTTGGCACCCCGCGCGTTGGTGTGTAAGCGCTGCTGAATGGGCAGCTCAGCTTCTGTGTCACTCAGCCACGTGTGGCAGAGCAGATCAGGCTTTGTGCAGGCGTGGGCCCATCGCTTTGTGCCTTACAAGGAGTTGAAAACCTTCTCTTTTTGAGTCGTGTTTCCAAGTTTCACCACCATCGGCGAAGCTGATGTTGGTTTTTTTTCCATCCCTCAATTGAGTCCCTATTTTCCTAAATGCACAGGAATGTGGAGGTAACCACCTACAGCAAAGTGAGTGATTTTGGTATTTATTTCTGAGCGCGGCACTCATTTCTGTTTGGAGGTGTGCCTTAATGTACGGTGCCTGTCTTAATTCTGAGCAAGGTTCCAGTTGCGGCTGACTTGCCCAGGCTGCAACACGTGGTAGTGACACAGCCTTGGGCTTGTGAGTTTGCCTTCATCGCACCTTTTATTTCTGTGCCTTGCAGGGCAGCTCGTGCTGGAAGTGGGCGGTATCACAGTGTGAGTGAAGGCCAGTGCAGGAGCAATTTCTGATGTGAGGAAGGAACTGCAGGCTAATGGGCTCTGCGGCATCTTTGGTCTGAATGCAGAGGAAGCAGGAATGATCTTGCAGAAGAAGGTGAGGAACTCTTCAGCAGGAAGCCCCAAAGCTTGCAGAAAGCTGCAAGAGAGCTGGAGCAAGTGTGGATGCCCAGGGGAAGTGCAGCCCCAGTGTTGGAGCAATGCCGGGCCATGGGGTGCTGCGGCCCAGGAACAGAGCTGTTCTGCCTTTGCAAGCAGGCTTGAAAGAAGGACTTTTCTGCCTTCCTAAAAAACAGAGGGCTGGCTTATCCGAATACTTGCTGATTGTTTGGAAGCCCAAACCTTTCCAGCAGCCAAGCTGTAGGCAGCCAGGAAGCAGCATCTGCTTGGTGTGATTGTGCAGTGCCTGAGCAAGAGTGTGACCCAAGCTGGGTGCACAGGAGTCATCTGAATTTCTCTGTTCCTTTACTTCAACTAACTCCACTGGGTGACGCTTGAGTTGGTTTCTCAGCCTTTGGATGTAGGAGGTGACCACCACTCCCTTTGCTGTGATGAAAGCACAGCGGTGATGCAGGCACTCGCTGAGGTCACAGTCGTTGCCGGGCTGGGAGCGTTTGTGCCCCAGCTGGGAGCAGAGCTGGTGCTCTGGTGAGCGTGGTGCACGCAGGCTGAGCTGTTGTGGAGCTTCGTTGAGAGATCATCTGTGAGAGCCCGGTTGGAAGCAGCGCTGCGGCGTGTGCGTGAGCTGGGCACAGCTGAGGCCGAGCCGTGAGCAGGTGAGCTGGGTTTGGTGCTGGGGGGTTGGCAGGAGGTGTCTGAGCAGGAAAGCTGGGCTGGGGTGGGCACACTGTGTCAGCCCTCGTCCAGGCTGGCGGTGAGGCAAAGGGAGTTTTCTCCACGACAGCAACAGCAGCCGTGTGCTTCAAGGTGCGCAGCTATTGAGGAGATGGAGAAGAACGCTTGGTGCCAGAAGTCACGGCAGCTGTACGGAAGCTGGCTGTGTTTTGGGGACAGTTCTTGTAGCCAGTTGGTTTGGAGTATTGCTCTGCCCGATAGTTTAAAGTGCGTAGAAGGAGGGAGAACAGAAAGCTGGGAAAATGCTTCTTTCTCGCTATTTTTCACTTGCAGGTTCTTTCCTTCGGGTTGGTTTCCCAAAGGAGATTTTGGGAATGGAGGCAGTTGAAGAAAGCCAGTGAAGGCAGCTGTGTCCAAGAGTGGGGGCTGTGCCTGTGGAGAGGAGCCCAGGAAGCTGAGCTTCCCCTGAGACGTTCCCCAGCATGTCTCAGCAGGGAGACAGTTCCCATTCCTGCTTTGCGCGTGGAAAGGTATGGCTGGGTTTCTCTCTCTTGGGTTTTCTTCCTTTCTCAGGTTCTGGAGGGGGAAGAGGTGGAGCAGGGGGAGCCCTGCTGGTCCTTTGTGAGCTCAGTAAGCGGTTGGGTTGTGTGCGTGCAGCAGCAGAACAGCACTGCCAGGCTCGTGAACCTGCTGGGGCAGGGTGGGAGCAGAGAGCGGGCGCTGCCCTCCTGCCAGCTGTGCCTGGTTCTGGTTTGCCAGGTCCCTGCTGCCCTGGGTTTCTGCTGAGAAGTTTGTTGTAGCTGCCTGCAGTAGTAAAGCGTGGGGAAGAAGTGGGGGCGAAGAGCAAAGGCTGCGCACGGTAATTTGGCGTGGGTTGAACTGTGGCACCTGAAGACGCCTTTTCCCTCGGAGTAATGCTGGTGTTTGCAGGTGTGTTGGTGCAAGCCCTGAAGTGCTGTCTGAGAGCGCCTGTCTTCTGCACCTGGACGATAAGAAAGCTGGATATGCCCAGCAATTGCAGCTTGTGCAGATGCTGTGCATGCGCTTGCAAATGTTTCCTTGAGTGACAACTGATGTCTCAGCACTCTGCTGTCCCATCTCTGGCGCAATGTGGAATGCTGCATCTCTTTGCAAACATTGGGTGCCTGTTTCCATGGACCTTCCTTTTTTCTCTCCTCAGAAGCCATGCGGTGCTGTTCCCTGTGTTTGGGAGCAGCAGCCAGCAGGCTGCCCCGATGCCAGCTGGGCCTTGCAGCGCGCAAAGGGACGCGACGGGGATGGAGCATCCTCAGCAGCATGCAAAAGTGAGTCTCTTCAGTCCTCTGCCATGAAGGATGGAAGAATGCATTCTAGGTGTTACTTCTGAGCGGGTGCAGTGCTGCAGGGATGTCCAGTAACCATGGTGGAAGCATTAGAGAGGCCGACAGCGGCAGCTGATGGCAGCAGCGAGACAGAAGTCTGTGTCTAAGTGGTGCTGCTCAGAGCTGAGCGCATTCCCTCTAGGGACAAGAGATCCGTGTCTCCACGTTTGCACCTGGTAGCGTTTTGGTTGCTGATGCAGCTTTGCTCTGCAGAATGCAGAGCTGTCAGGCAGACCTGGGTTCCTCTGCTGCCATCTGACAGGAAAGAGAGCAGCACTGCTTTGTGTAAGCATCAGTTTCTGCTCTGGCTGTAGAACAGCGTCTTCTGGTTTTTGGGGGGTGGATGTGGGCTGACAGGACAGCGCTGCTCCTGGTGTCTGTGCAATCACACTGGATCTGTTGTTGCAGGGACGGAGCCTGCGCGTCCGTGGGATGGTGCTGGGCACGGGGGGAAACGGAAAGCCTCCCCAGGTGAGAAGCTCCTGTGAGCTGTGGTGTGGGTGCTGCCTGTAAGGAGGGCTGCATGCAGGGCTGTGTGCGATGGAGGAGAGAGGAAAGGGCGCTGCAGATCTGTGCTGGCTGCAGAAGTGGCGCAAGGCTGTAGCAGCAGAAAGGCAAACTGAAGAAACTACACTCGAAGAGCAGAAGTTTGTGGCTGGCTGTGCTGGAATGTTCCTCCAAAGAGATGCTCTTCATGTCTTTGCTGTTTCTTTTCTGTCAGAAGCTGATGCAAGCAGGCTTGCAGTGAAGCGCAGCCTTCCAGGAAGGCCGGGGAGGAGCACGGAGTGTGGCCCAGCACCCAAGAGAGGTACGGGCATACAGCAGGCGTCTGGGTTTTGGTGCCCTGTGCTTCTAGCTAGGCTTTCTGTCTGTCCTTTCCTGGGGCTGTTGTCCTTGCGTGTTGCTCTAGGTCTTAATCCCTGGGGATTACCATTACCTTCCCCGTCCCAAATGGAAGTGGGACTCCACAGTTCAGCCAAGATCCTAAGATCCATTGCTGTGAGCCCTCGAGATGAGATTTCCTGATGTTGTGGCCCATTTTGCAGACTGAAGGTAGTGCAGGACTCAGTGAATGTTGTTGTTCCCCTTTCCTGATTCTAACAGGGAGAGGAGCTGAGCCAAATGGCAAGATGTGCGTGAAAGCTCCCCTGCAGGCTGGAGGGCTTCCTGGAACAGCAGGCCCCAGCACAGGGGGAAGAGCTTCCCCTGCAGTTGCCGACCGCTCCTTCTGCAAGACCGTGGCCGCAAGAAAGCGCAAGGGCATGGAAGAAGAGGAGCAGCAAGCAGAGCTGTGTCCTGCCAAGAAACCAGCGAAGGTGGAGCACAGTGGGGAGAAGGCTCAGAGCAGAGGCGGTGTGCCAGCCCCAGCGCCGACTGAGCGGTTCCGGGCCTCCAAGCGAAGAGGTAAGAAGACGCTGCAGCTGCCCTGGGAGTTTGCTTAGGGTTTGCTTTGCTTTTTCCTTCTCTCTGCAGAGAGGGGAAAAGAGTAGAAGGCTACCAAGTCCAAAGGCAAGGAGGTGCCAGAATGTGTGACCCCTTCTTTTCCCGTTAACTCCACGATGGCCCTCTGCTCGTCCCACTGGAAATAGCGTTCCCTGCGAGGCTTCCTAGCCTGTTCTCACGGTACCCACGTTTCCACAGTTCTGCTGTTGACAAACTGAATTTCTCTTTTCTTGCTCTATAGCAAGACGACAGAGACAGAAAGAGAGGAGAGCAGAAATGAAGAAGGCTGCTCTGAGAGCTGCCGCTGCACATGCAGAGGTGAGTCCTTGGCCAGCACAGACACGGCTCTTGTTCTGTCTGTCAGACACGAAGGGGATCGTAGAATACTGGGGGAAGCCGTATCCCCTTTTGACACTCGCTTTGTTTCTTTGCAGTCCTCCGCAATCAACAGCCTTGTGGAGATGCTGGAGAAGCTGCAGCTGAAGGACTGAGTAGAGGCACATCAGAAGGCAGCGGCTTCGTGGCAGCAGCCCAACTTGGCCCTCTGGTTGCAGTCCCTCAATAAACACTTGGAGTTTTGCGTTCACAAGGAGCGCACGGCCTGATTTGTCCAGCGGCACTCAGTGAGCTGCTGCACCAGCTCCTCGTTCTTCCACTCGTGGCGCTGGGTCAGAACTCCCCCAGCTCCATCAGGGAATGCTGTAGGTGATCAAAGCAATGGATGTACAAATGCTTGGCCCTGCCCATAAGCACGCTGTCTGCAAAGCACGCGCAAAGAACTGCGAGTAGCACGGCCTGAGCACAGGCACGCTGAGTTAGACAACAGCTCCACAGAGCTGAGTTTCTCAGGGCAGCACGGAGCACAAGTGAGCGTGTGCCCCTCACCCTGCAGGTGTCTCTGTTGGGGGAGGAGAGGCTCCGCCGGCCGCCTGATCGTGGAAGGCAGAGGTGTTCTCCTGCCTTCTCTGCGGTGCTACCTTCTTCCCTCATGAGCCGCCCCTCTCTTCAGCCGCTCTGATGCTTCTTTTCACCTTTGGGCTGGAGCTGGAGTGACTCTCGTGGCTGCATGGCTTCGAACTGAGTGGTGTGGAGTTTTCTGGCTTTGCCTTCAAAAGCCTAGGCTGAAAACTGCAGCGTGCATGTTAAATGTGGAGCTGTAGCACTGTGGAATGCCACCTTGCCGTCTCCCCAAGAGATGCGGGCTGGCGGCTAGGCTGTGGCCAGAAGCAAGCATCTCTGTGGAGAAAGGCAAAGGGCGGAGGAGGTGGAAGGGTAGCATCCGTATCCCACAGCTTTATCCCATCCCATATCCATCATATCCACTCCACAGCCATCTCAAACCCATCCCATGTCCACACCCCACATCCTATCCCCATCCCTTATCCTATATCCATATCCATTCCAAATCCCTATCTCTTATCCCATGCCATCATCATCCCAATCCCACCCCATATCCTTATTTCATCCCCAATTCATCCCGCGTTCTTCCCACGTTGATCCCACGTCCACCCCAAGCCCATCCCATACATATTCCATTTTCTGATCTCCCACTCCGCATCCACCCCATATCCATATCCCCACAGCCCGATCTTAACTTTCACATCCCCCTGCCAAATCCAACCCCAATTCCAAACCTGCTTCCCAATCCCACGTCCCAGCCCCACCTCCCACCTGTCAATCCCAGCCCCATCTCCCGCGCCATAGAGCAGTAGGCTGCACCACGAGGCCCCGCCCCCTGCCCACGCTCCTCCCACCAGCAGCCCAGCGCCGTTCCCTTCCCCCCCCCCGGCTCTCATGGGACGGACCGGCACTTGACCAGCCCTCGAGCTCTCATTGGCCAGGTGCCTGTCAGTCCCGCTCCCGGGCTCTCATTGGTCAGGTTCCAGTCTGTCCCGCCCGCGGGCTTTCATTGGTCAGGTTCCGGTCCGTCCCGCCCTCGGGCTCTCATTGGTCAGGTGCCTGTCCGTCCCGCTCCCTGGCTTTCATTGGTCAGGTGCCTGTCCGTCCCGCTCCCGGGCTCTCATTGGTCAGGTGCCTGTCCGTCCCGCTCCCGGGCTTTCATTGGTTAGGTGCCTTTCCGTCCCGCCCCCGGGCTCTCATTGGTCAGCGGCAGCGCCGCCAGCTCTGTTTGGCTGAGGCGCGGCGCGCGGGAACGGCTGTTTTTCCACCGGCTCAGAGCCGCTCTCCCCTCAGACGGCTGCGCTCCCGCAGCCCCGGCAGCGCTGCATCGCCGCTGAGCGCCGGAGCTCCGGGCAGCACCGAGACGGAAGCGCGGCACGACGGGAGCGGTGCTGAGGACAGCGGCGCCGGAGGCGGGAGGGATGGAGAGCAGCACCGGGCCAGGGAAGGAAGCGATGTGGGGTGAGGGGCTGGGAAGGCCGGGGGCATCCAGGGAGGCCCACGGGGCTGCAGTGGGCTGTGGTATGGGGGTATATGGGGCTATAGGGTGGGTGCAGGGGGATTTAGGGGAGCAGAGGGCTGTGAGGGGGTAACGGGGACACGGTGCTGTAGGGAGCATTGGGGGGGTGGGAGGGGCTGGGGAGGGATATGGGGAGGGATGTGGGGGCTGGGGGAGGACGTAAGGAAATAGGGCTGTATGAGCGTCTGTAGGGGGAATACAGGTGGGACAGAAGGGTTGTGGGGCTGCAGGGAGCAGTGGGAGGTAATTCCTCCCAGTACATATGTTCCGTAAGATCAACACTTGCAGCATCAGGAAATTGCCATTTCAGTCTTTAGAGAACGCAGCAAGTCTTCAAGTTGCATCCAGGAAGCTTCTGATGAATGCACTCTGATGGAGAGTTCTTGACCATGGAAGAGCCCTGTGCTCCCAGCCCCTGGGGAGAGGCTGCGATTGCTGAAGGGAAAGATTTCTTTGAGTGATGTGAGGGGTGTAGGAAGGGAGCTGACAGGTTTAGGGTTCCTTTGCTGTGCTCTGCCCAGTGCTGGGGTTTGTTTTTGGGTCGCTCTGAAGACAAAATGAGTGAAGGGGTTTTTTGTGCAGCCTGAAACCCTGCAACTCTGCTGTAGGGGCTGCAGCCCAGGGTCGGTGCCCTGTCTTTTTCTCTGCTTTCTATGTTAACCAATGAAATGTTTTGTGTTCACTTTGATACTGCTCTGCCTGCGTCATTCATGCAGCACATTTGGCTTGTGACCAAAAAAGCCAATCTGGTAACAGGAATTAATCATTAAGAAAGTTTCATAGATCTCTTTTAATCTTATGAAGAGTTACTTGAAGAGTTCAGTGGCTCGGTTCCCAGTGTTAAGTAGCAAGAGCAGCCCACTGTTGGGGTTGTCCTTCATGAAGGTCAGTGTTTTGTGCACGTGAAATCCCATTTGTGTTTTCCAGGTCATACGTTGCTGAACTTAAGCCATGGCAAGGGAAATGTCTTGAAAGAGACTGGAATGTTTTTCCAGCACAAGGGGTTTGCTGAGGTTGTTTGAAAGCCCCTTTGGGAGGGGGGCTTCTCGAGAGAGTTCTTTCCTTGGCACAGATGAGACGAGCAACGTCAGCACACGAGCTCCAATGCAAGAAGAACTGAACAAACACGGTCATGGTCAGAGGTGTTGCTTTGTTAAATTCAGCTGCAGCGTGACTGTGTCAGAGGAGCTTTTTCAGCTCCTTCCTTTTGCAGCAGAAGAGATGGGGCTGTGGCAGCTGTTCAGTGTATCAGCACAAGAGGTGATGTGCGTGAAGCTTCCACTGATGCTGTTGCTGAGAGGTGGTGCTGGCACGCCTGGTTCTGAAGAGTTCCTCACGTGCCTCCTGCTTCCACAGCGCTGTCTTCTCATCTGCTCCTATTCACGTTCACTTGCAGCTGTCTGCTTGGCCTTTTGTGCCTGAGCACTGGGAAGTGCTGATAGCAAGGCTCCTCTGGCTTCATTTGTAATGCAAGAATGCAGTTTCCAAGCATAAAAATGAAGTAACTCTGGGGTGAATTGCTGAGACTTGATGATGAAGCCTGGCTTTGAAATTGAGTGAGAGAAGATTAGAATACCGGTGGTCTTCTACTTAGCTGTTAGTTTTCAGAAATGTTCAGGTTATTCAATGTAAAATGATCTAGCGGGATACAAAACAATAACTGCAACAACAACTGTGGCCTTTTTTCTTGGCAGATCCAGATAAATATGAGTAGCTGTGAAGGAAGAAAGTTCACAGTTCGGCAGTCTCTCCTAAGAGGTTTGTTTCTTTATATTACTTTGTAAGGTGATTTTAAAAACCAACAAACAAAACACAAACCCAAAACACCAGCACTCAAAGGCTTGTGCTTATTATACACGGGGTCAGGATTTTCCCTGTTAGAGAAATGTGTTCCAAAGCAGTGTGAGCACATGGGCAGAAGTGAAAAACAAAACTGCATTCAGAACAGAAATTAAGCATTCGGGTTGTTTTCTTTGCTGAAAATGGGAGATCTCCTGAGCTTAACAGACTTAGAGAACAGAAGGATGTCTGTATAACACATCAGCTTAACCTGATACCTCAAAATGGAGAGGTTAATGTTTGAAACTTCTGTGTGCTTCCTTGGAGATGTTCTCTCCATTTTTCACCTTGACACAAAAAGCAGACGTGTCAATATGTTTGCTTTGTGCACTTCTGTGAGGTTGGCATTTCTCTGCTCAGAGTTATTTGTGTCATCAGAACAGCTGGCGAATCACTGGAAGAGTGTTACTTTGCCTTTTCAAAATGCTTGG